AAAAAGGCAACAACTGCACTGTCAAATAGCAAATTAATGAAAATGGAGTGTTAAATAGATAAGGCAACATGCTAAACCTTCCACACAGCATTTGCTTTAGTGAAAGCACATTAGTTTTTCTTCACCTTTGATTTTATTGTATGATCAAGCTTCTCTAAGTCTCATCTCTTAAGAATTAGCTTCAGGGAAGGGAGTGGAGAAAGACCACGTGCAACCTCATAAGAACAGCTCATTTTTAAACTACTGCCAGACATACATTACATGTTTTATGAGTAAGGCCTCAGATAATCCTTTGATTAACTGCTATATACAATGTCAGAGGGAAAGTAGATTGGGGGAGGGGAGGTTGCCACTTTGTGAGGGGTGTAAATGTCTAACTATTACATTGTTTTGTATACCTGAAACTAATGAAATTAATTAATTAATTTAATAAAAAAGAAGAAGCTTCTTGATTCTAAATGCACAATGCTGCTGGCAAGAGGAGCTTTAAGTTCCAAGTATGCTGATTTCATTCTTTTGACTATTACTAACAATAATTCTCTTTTCTAAGTTACATTTTCTTCTACCTTAAATTTTTTCAGAAGAAAAATCCAATTAAGATGAATCAACATTTTATTCTATCAATTCTCTGTACTAAAATACTCATCCCAACCTCAACAATCACTGATTCAAAACTCAATGAGTGCCTCCAGTGTGTCAAGCATTATAGGAGATGCAAAGACTAACATACTTGTAAACACAAATCACTAGATACAAAGCAGGATGTCAAAGTGCAGACAACAAAATTAGCTGGGCAAATCTAGGAAAGCCCTATAAATAAGCCAGTATTTGAAATGGGCCTGAAAGAATGGGGGAGGATTCTAACAAGGAGTGATAGGAGGTAAACCTTTTAAGACAACGGGAATGGCACGAACAAAGAAAGAATAGCAGGCCACATTCGGGAAATAAAAATTTGAAGGAGAGTGCTGCATTTAGGTGAATAATAGTAAACTGAGGTAGGATGATAAATTGGAAACAAATTATGGCATATCTTAATAACTATTTGTACTTTCTTAGCAAGTATATGTCCAAATCCTTAATTTAGTAATATTAATGTGACAGAATATAGAAGAATAGAGAATAGGAAGTGAATCAATGTAAAATCGAAGTGAAAGAAAGTTATGCGACTATCTAATAAAATGATGAAAAACTAAACCAAGTAGTAGAGATGGAACCATGAGTGAGGGATGAAAAATAATGTAATGGTAGGATCAATGGGACCTTGTAAAATAGGTGACTAGAGAGGACAAGTTAAACGGAGATGTCAAAGTTAACTTTAAGAAAGTAAGACTACATTAACGGAAGAATGATAGTGCCATTAAAAGAACCAGAAAATCAAGAGGAAGATTGATTTGTAGCCATAGGGAACAATGATGAATTCCAGATTGGTCATTCTGAATTTGAAGGACAATTAGATGAAAGTATTCAGCAAACAGTTAAAAATATAAAACTGGAAAAGGGAGAAATATCAGGGACAGAGACTCTGTAACATCTACATTTATAAGAAGAAAGGCAATCAAGTAAAGAAAAGACAAAATAATTAATTATAAAGAGAGAAGAAATAGGTTGACATAGAAACCACAGAAAAGGCATCAGCATTGCCAAATGGTTCAAAGTGAAGGTGAGAAATGAGAAAAAGTTCACAGATTTTCAAGTACGATATTTTGGTTTACTTTCCAGATAGTATGTGTTCAGCAGTCAGAATTCAAGAGGTTAAGAAGTGAAAGGTTTGTAAGGACACAGAATGTTCATGTTGTGGAATGCTTTGCAAAGTTAAAGAAGAAAACAGAAAATAATAACTTGGTGAAAGTAAGAATCAAACCAAGAACTCTTCTTTTTTACAAATATCAGAGTATGAATAAGAAAAAATATAAATTAAACGATATGTCTGTGTGTGTATATACATACATACATACACACACACACACACACACACACACACACACATATATATATATATATATATATATATATATATATATATATATATTACTTGAAAGTATCCAAATCAGGATATTTCAAGTACTAACAGTTTGCTTCTGTTATGGACTGAATGTTGTGTTCCCCGCAAAATTCCTTATGTTGAGCCCTAACCCACAATGTCATGATATTTGGAGATAGAGCCTTTGGGGGGGTAATTATAGCTAGATGAAGTCATGAAGTGGGGCCCTTATGAAGGGATTAGTGTCCTTATAAGAAGAGACATCATCAGAGAGCTCCTTTTATCTCTCTCTACATGTTCTTGCACCAAAGAAAGATCATGTGAGAAAAAAGCAAAAAGGTGGCCATCTGTAAGCCAGAAGAGCTCTCACCAGAACCCAACCTTGCCATGCTGGCTGGCATCCTGATCTCATACTTCTAGTGTCCAAAACTGTGAGAAAAGAAATTTCTGTTGTTTAAGCCAAGTCTCTGGTATTTTGTCACAGCAGCTCCAGCAGACTAAGACAGCTTCAAAAAGGCATGGCTTCTTTTCATGTAAATATAATCAGCTAGAATCTCTTCACGAAACCAAGACAGAAGTTAGAAGAAGTATTCTAACTCAAAACTCCCCTACTAAATCTCTTGTATCCCAGAAAAAAAAAAAAAGAGAAACCCACAAAATGCCTCCATTACAATATTAAGAAAAATAGAAAATTATGTACCATTAAAATTGCAAATCAGAAAATACATCTGTACATGATCAATAATATACTCCAAAAAGGTACAGAGGGAAAAACAAGGGGATATGGAATAAATATTGACCTACTTCACTGGGCAGAAACTTAACAAAAGAAGTCAATTTAAAACAAACACTTGGATTCCTTTTAAAATGAGCAAAGTAAAAAATCTACCTGATAAAACAGCTCTAAAAATGGGTAAGAAGTTCAAAATAAATAATTTGTAGGTGAATAACTACCATTTGTGTTAAGTATCCAGCTAATGAATGCTCCAAGACAATGTATAATCTCAAAAAGGTTGGCTTAAGAGACAGACCTTACACTAAAGCAATGTCACCAGTTGCTATCAGGCTACTCTCATATTCCAGTATTTCCAAGCGTTCCTTGACTCCTTAGAGATTTTTATTTTTTACTCATGCTAATTAGAATAGACAGTCTGAAGAACTCTATTCACACAGGTAATAAAATGTCTGTAATGTCAAAGAGATTTAACTTAGCATGCTGACTCTGTTTTGATCAATTCATCCCTCTGATAAGTGCTTTTTGAAGACCCATGGCTCAGTTCCTTCCAAAAAAGGCATTTCAAGGGTTCTCAAGAAAGAAACACAGAGAAGCCAGCCACACCTTACTTCCTATTACCACTTAAAATGTTTCTATTACTACCAAGCCAATGGCATGTCTGAACTAGTGTTAATATTCCTATAATTGGAATATTAACATCCAAATCAAATAGCAAGCTTTCATACATACCTATCATCCTATCACCCAAAGCAAACATCCTATCATCTTAAACAAATAGCGAGCTTTATCATACATACAAAGATCTAGGAAAATGGTGGGGGAGATGAAATACAACATTGCAAAGGCTACTGGAAACGAATGGAGCTATAAAGATAGTGTTCCCATTCCTATGGAGAGAATAAACCGTAGGAAGCTCTTTCTTTGTATAGGACAAAAAGAGTCTCTTGAAATTCAGTAGCTATTTTTTACTTACTTGGAGCCAAATCCTTTGGAAGGAAGAAAAAGCATAAACTTGACATGCCATTTGGCATGGTATACATTTCCTGTTGAACTAATGCAAAAAGTTTAACTACACAGAAAAAGCACTTGTCACAAAAACCCAAGCAAAGTACTATGTGCATGTATCTAACAAAGAAGCATCAACTGGTTTATAACCAAAACTCTGGCCTCATAATATTAAAAAGTATATGATATTATGGGCTCAAGTGTCAGAAGATATAAAATACAAAATGTCTTAAAAGGGGAGAGGGACATTTTCATATATATTTTTTTCCTTTCATGCATGTCAAGCTAGGAAACAGTGCACCTGTGGAAACTTCTACTTGAGAGATTTCTGGCTCTATTAGAGAAGACATGGTCTTCCTTTGAGGCCAAATTTGGAATCTTCTAAGAAAGAAGTAACTTTCTTAGTCTTTCAGAGATTATTTTTAAAATCTTAGTTCGAAGCAGTACTTCTCTTTTCACTTTTCTCAAAAATCTAATTAGATATTAACACAAGGAAAAAAGGGAAGGTAAAACTATGCAAAGGAAAAGGAATAATATGTATGAACTTCACAAATACGATTTATATTATGCTTAGAAGACAGGACACAATATGGAAATATTAGCGTTCTAATCATTTGTTGCAAAAGTTGACCATTTAGATTAAACCTGCTCTTTGTAAAGATTGTTTTTAAAAGGTGCCATTTTGAAATTTTCCCATTCAGAATAAGCTTCGGGGAAAACTTACGAAAGGCACAGACAAATTCTTCAAGTTATAAAAATAAAATACTTAAGGTATGTTTGCTATTCTGGATAAGTTATACAAGAACAGCAATTCCAGAAGATAGAGCAATTAAAATAAAGAAATAAAAAATAAAAATCCCAAAAAAGCTGCTAATATATTAAATTATACCAGCATTCTACTTAGAGGCAAAGGCTGGTAGCATTGATGAAATTCTATGTGATCCAAGCTCTGCAAATGGGACATGGGAAGAAGATAAAAAGAATTCAACGGCCAACCATGTTATCTGGAGGAACCTGACCCAAACATATTAGAGATGATCACTTTCCTAAACATAAACAAGATGAAAGAAAAGACGGGTAATGTGGCCTATTCTTGCTCTACAAAGTTAGTTTCTAGCAACCTTAAGCTTCCACATCACAGCCACATTAAAACCCCAGGCTCCCTTTCCCTGCAGTAGATCATGCCATGCAGAGCAGACAGAGGAAGGCTGTAATTATTTTTAAAAAGGGAAACAGGATGAAGCAAGGTGCAAGGCTGAATTGGCTACATTAGCTTACCATATATCTCGGATCTACTCTCCTCTGAACTAGACTTTGTCTTCTTGGAGGAGCTATCTGCACAAGAGCGGGAGAAAAGGAGAGAGATATAGAAAAATGGAGACCAATGTAAGGGAAAAAATTCATGGGGGAAAAAAGAATGAATCATGATCAAGTTAAATCGCACAAACACAAAGTATGAACATCACAGGTGACAGCAATTAGAATAGTCATGAACAGCACAAGTAATGACATATTTTAAAGATTTATTGAAGAAAAGACAGTGCAATAAAATATGTTCAAACAAAACAACACATGAATACTCTAAAAAATGTATCATCTAATCATCTAACAACTGTAGAGATGACAAAAGCACTAAAAGCTATAATAATCTCATGCTTTGGAGATGGTCACATCACAAGTGAATAATATAGAATAAATCAATCTAAAAAGATCATAATACTTTTATGAACATAGGGCAGAAACTTGTGACCTTCATTAGTAAGACAATAACTAATAATATACATGGAAGCCTCTGAGCCCCATGATGTCAAAATTAGGTGTCAGAAATAAAGAATTATTTTTTAATGAAAATCCAGAAGTTATACATTATATACCCCGCCACCAAAACCTCTAAATAGATTATTGCGGTATCATTTTTACCTACTACCTAAGATACAGGTAAATTATTAGCTATTCACTTTCTATTCTTCCCTTCATAAAATACTCATAATATTTTTTTCAAAATAAAAGAGTAATACTAAAAGCATGAAACATCTTAATTAGACACAAAAAATATACTTACTCTCTATTAAAAGTCAAAAATTTTATTTCTAAATAAAATACCTAAAAATAGATATATGATATTTATGTATCTGGGACCTTAGCATATACTTATATTTTATCTTTTGTCATAGGAACATAGGACTGAATAAAATAGTATGTGCACAAAGAATACATATCAATTTCAAGTGATGAAAGCAAAATTATCTAGCAATTTTTATAAATCAAATATTGGGTGAATTAACAAGGAGAAAGCAAAAGCCTATATTTTACAAGAGGAGTTCAAACTATATGCATAAATTTAAGAATATAAACAGTCGAAAGTCTACTAACATAAAAACTCTAGGGAAGAGCAACACTACTGCAGTTGAAAGACAGCTCTGAATTCAGAATATTTTTTGACTGAAGAAAAAGGGATCACTTCATTTGCTTACTCTAAAATGAGATGATAATTAATTTTTGAAGTTGTATTTTAATACTCTAATTTACCATGATCAAACCTGAACTTTCAAATGACTACAGAAATTGGTAGTAGTTATAGACTTGATTTTATGACATGTACTACTGTTCATACCTATGATTTGTCTTAATACTAAGTCCTTGGTGTTACCAAAATATCCAATTATGATAACTATTTCTATTATCATTATTTTAAAATATAATACACTCTACAATGATGCTTCCATAGTACTGAAAATTAAAAATGTTTCCATTTCTTCTGAAAGCAAAGGTTTTTATATTATATAACTGAAGAGAGTCCTAAACAGACTGAACAGCTACTTGTAAAACAGGTGTTTTGGGAAGTTATGTAGCTTAAGCTATAGTATTCTGATGTTCACTACTGTCAATATTCTTTCGAAAAACAGTGTTTTACCTGTAGGATCAAAATCATGTGATGTACTGCGTTCAACTTTCTGCTTCTTATCTGTTGGTGACTCTCGATTCAAAATACTTCCATGCCTAAATTAAATCAAAGCAATCAAATATTTACTACAAGAGAGCCATTAGAATAAAAAAACTTATTTTATTATTATTTTTTACTTTCTTTTTTATTAGTTTCAGCTGTAAAAAAACTTATTTTAAAACTCCCAAGTGTGTCTTACAAAGAGTAACCAAGAAATCAGTTTACCTTACACATTCTCATAAACTTCTCTAATTTATGTTTTTCAAGAAGTTTTAAAACACTCTATGCTATGTGTAATAGAGTCTATTTACTTGGTTATAAAAAGTGCTTAATACAACTGAAACCTATGTAACTTTACTAACAATTGTCACCCCAATAAACTTTAATTAAAAAAAGTGCTTAAAAATTATAAAAGTAATATTTAGTATTAAAGTCTATTTTATTCTTAGAAATAACTCCTTAAATTCTTTTAGTGGCTTTCAAAGGTTAATCATTATTATTTCCATTTAACAGGTAATAAAACAGAGCCTAAAGGTAATTAAATACATTTCCCAACCCTATATATACCATAGTCAGATTTGAAATCTCTCTGTAAATACAGCATTAATTAGAGCAATTAAAAAAAAAATCTCAGGGAAGCCTCACTTAAAGGCTGCCTATAGTTCTAGCCACAGTAGTCTTAGCCAGGCCCTGATGACACTAGAATTATTATTTTTCCTATGGCCTAATGACTGGGCAATAAGTAAGACCATAAATAACTATAAAACATACATTACTAAGTAATTGAAATGGCAAGATTAACATTGGTATCCTGCACTATGACACTAAAAATGATCAATGTACTATAATAAAGAATGACATACTACCAGTATTTTAATAATATTTATGACAATTAAGATGAACGAAAAAAGAGATGTTGAAGAACAAGTATTGAGGAAGAGGCATTTAATCCTGGGAAATTAATAAATATGGAGCTATGGATATGGGCACAGACATATTTGAACATTATGGATTTTTTTCCTTTACTGTCTTAAAGTAATTAAGACTGATCCAGTTTGACAAAGTACATTAACTAAAGGCAATTACAGCTATCCAGATGATGAAACACATCAAAAACTAGCAATCCATTTACACTCCCCAAGCTATTTACAACTGAAAACAGTCACAATAGATTTTAAAATTAAATATTTTCATAGGGAGTGACCTTAAGGATCAATTTTAACAAACTTTTAAAATGCCGAGATTAAAAACATTAAAAATGTTATCAAAACAATGCCATCTTCCAGAAAAAATAAGCAACACCTGTTATATTTTAAATTTGTAAAACATTTTGAAATTTTAAACTGAAATACATGTTTTCAAAACACCACAAAATCCACCAGAATTTCAAAGGAATGCTTCCAATTAAAATTTAACCTAAATGTGTGAAGTGCAACTGAACAACTTACCTTATAGGTTTTTTGAGGGGAAACCTAAAACAAAGAAAAAAGGATAGATGTAGTTATTTCACTTATAAGACTATAATTAAATTTATTCACGCTACTAAACTACAATAAGGGATTTAAACATTTTATGCTGATTTTTCCAAAGCAGTTCAAAAAACAGGTGGAGTAAGAAGCTGGGTAACATTTTTAATATCTTAACTACTTTTAAAAATACTAAATAGCAGGTGCATTTATCCTAAGCTGTCCCTGAGGATGGGTTCTCTTTTTAAAAATCCAAGTAATAATAACAACAGCTAAATTTATTGAGGGCTTACTAGATGCTATGCAGTGCTTCAAACTGTTTACGTGTATTATCTCATTTAATCCTAAAAAAATAACCATGAAGATATCATTTCCATTTTACAGATTTCAGGGGGAAAAAACCAATAAGGCAAAGAGAAATACTTCACCATTCAAATATTATACTTAGTTTCCCTAACAACAACAAAAAAAAGTTCCATATTGCCCATCACCTCTCCTCACCCCCTAAAACATCTGGGCGTGGATTACTGCTCTATTGATCTGTCTATCCTTTGATCATGATCAACTCATGATGCTCAATCATTTGTGCTTAGCTTTAATAGAAAAAGTTACCTTGGAGTATGAACATTTATTAAAAATATATTCGAAAAGTGAAAACAAAGGGTACTATTTCTCTTTTTTTTTGGTTCTGTAAGCTAAAAGAACTACAGCATTTCCTCCTGCTTGTCTTTTTTTAAAAGCAATATTACTGGAGGCTTCTTAATAAGAGTTTGATGCTATACAAAAAATGCTACTCTAAGTCTAAAATATGTTTTCCAATTTCCTCCCATTTCTCTTTTCATTTTTGTCCTTTTCAGAAATTATCTTAACCTGTGGTATTTTGTGTAAGATTATTTAGTCTAAATAGAAAGAACAAGGTTTATTACAAATATAAGTAAAATTGGGTTAAAAAAAGACATCAGTAAAGATAGTAAGAAACACACATGAAACAATGATACTTGAATGACTGTTTGTCAAAAATGTAGTTAAAGTTAAAAAAAACGCTCAATAGTACAAGTTTAAGTTCAATTCCCTTTAACTCCTAAGTAAATCAAAATTGATTGAAAGAAAGTCTAAGAAATGAAAAACTTCCCTAATAAGTGATAGCATGTTAAATCACAACAAAATTAGGGATAGCAAGGAAAAGGGGGCTCTGGGATAAGAGGACACAGCTCTAGAGAATATACTGATTACAAAAGATTACCAAAACTTCAAAAGCAAAATTTCATAAATACGAGGTCTCACATTAAGTTCATGAACTTGCCACAGAGCGCTTACACTGGTAGCACTGCACAAACAGCTCAGTAAGGTTTCATAACCTTGGTACACATCAGTATCTCACAGTTGTGTTCAAGTCGACCTGTGGCAGTGTCTTGCTGAGTGGCGTTCATTACTATTGTTGTGTGGTTTTTTTTGTGTGTGCTGTCGCAAGCATGTCTGAGCTTGAATTAGAGCAACAAACAAACATTAAATTTCTTGTTACATTTGGCAAGAGTGGAAGTGAAATCAGGGACATGTTAGTCTAAGTTTATGGGGATAATGCCATGAAGAAAAACGGCAGTGTACAAATGGATTAAATGTTTTTCTGAGGGGAGAGAATGCATCACTGATAAAGAGAGGCCAGGGTGGCCAGTAACGAGCAGAACTGAAGAAAACATTGAAAATATTCGTCAAATTGTTGTGTCAAAATTGTGGGCTGACTGTGAGAAGCATAGCAGACCAAGTAAACATTGATAGAGAAACAGTTAGGAAAATCTTAACTGAAAACCTTGGCATGAGAAAGGCATGGACAAAATGGTCCCGAAGGAGCTCACTGATGAACAAAAGCAAATGAGCATCAAAGTTTGCCAAGATGTTTTGGAGAGACAAGATGATGTTTTAAGCCGTGTTATCACTGCTGATGAAATATGCATGTACCAATATGACCCTGAAACAAAGCGTCAAAGTGCACAATGGAAGTCAGTCAATTCTCCGCGACCAAAAAAGTTTCACCAGTCCAAATCAAGAGTCAAAAAGAGGCAGGCTGAATGGCTTAGTTGGTTAAGAGCGGGAGCTCTGAGCAACAGGGTCACCGGTTTGATTCCCACATGGGCCAGTGAGCTGCGCCTGAGCTCACCTGCTGCTGAGCTGCCAACAGGTGGCAGGATGGCTCAGCTGGTGAGAGCACATGCTCCTAACAACAAGGTTGCCAGTTCAACTCCCGCATAAGAT